GTCCGCTGCAGCCGCTGCCGCCGACGGTCCGAAAAGTCCCAGCAAGCTGCCCTGAACGTAGCGCTTATGCAGCAGATAGGCCAGTCGCCTGTCTGGAGTTACGCAACTCCTAGTAAGTCTGCGTAGGTGTCAGCTTTTAAAATGTAAATAAGGATAAATGCTTAAAATGTTCACATGTGCATACCAGTTCAAAATTTTTATGCTGATACTCAGCCGTTAACAGACAGGCTGGTCTAGTAACGTACAAATTTCTCTAAGACAGGAGCAGCCTGTATTCAGCAAGGCTTCAACTGACGAAAACGGTACTATGCTTAAACACTTGGACCATTTCTTTCAGGTATTCAAGGTAAAGATGACTAATAGAAAAATGAAGCTGTTAATTCAATTCTAGGGATCAAAATTTTATGTTAATAAACTCATGCAGTATAGACGAAATATGCGAGTTCCAGGAAGCAGTTCAGAAGAAGAAGACACGACCACTGGAACAAGAGCTTTATTTTCCCGACGTTTCGGATTCCGTCGGAAATCCTCAATCATAGGTAATGGCAGCATAGCCTGAGTCATGCGCAAATAGGGGGTTAAACATGCACAGGTTGCACGGTATTTATAGTTCATAGCGGCCATCCGCGTGCGTACTATAATCATCGACTCCTGTGGCCATCACTTGGGTCTTAATTGGTGTGATGATGGCTTGACACTTCGCGTTCGACTCATTATCTGCCGCGTTTTTCTTGCCCGTGTTGGATGCGGGCTTAGTAATTGCGCGACAGTTATGCTCGTGGTCGTCAGAGTTTGTTGTTGCTGGGCCCGGCCCTTCCCGCGTGATTGATTCCCTTGCTCAGGCAATGTCTCTATACGCAATATGGGAACGCCAAATGGTTGCGCTTGTTGATGGACTGCGGGCCTGAGAATCATGACATGAGCAGCTCGCGGCTCTAGCGGTTGTCACCTCTTGCGAGGATTTGGGCCTCGTCAAGCTTGAAAATATGGCCAAGTCCCGTCGAGTGAGCTGCAACCTGGGAGTTGGCTCCTTCTTTTTCCCTGCCGCTGCATGCTCGGCCATTCGCGTCCGGATTTATATCCCGGTTGCTCCGACGTAGTTGCTTTGTCCACAACTACACCAGATCCGATAAACGACTACAGCCGTTTCCTGCCGTGGCAGTGGGTCTTTCGATCTCATGACCCGGTGCCTGATGGTTTCTTCTGGCCTGTGCGCAATTCCAACTCCAAGTGGAATAAATAGACGGCTAACCGCTTCCGATAATTCTTTACGTACGGAGGAGCTCGCCAAATATTTGGGCCAGTTGGATGTGGCTTCTTTTCTCGTTTGCGTATGCACTGGTTGACAAAATTGCGCTGATAAACATTCGCTCTAAGTATCTATTGAAGATGTCGTAATTCAGCAACTTTGTCTTCAATTTCGCTGCAATGCGTCTCAACGCGCCGGTATAGCGCTCTGACGCAGGTGCCTTTGTGACTGATTGGGTGGTTGCTGTTGTTATTCAGGACTTGCATTGTGTTGGTTGCTTTCCTGAACACTTTGGTTTTTAGGCCACCACCGTCTTTGCGGCAAACGAGGACATCCAGGAAAGCTAGCTGTTTGTTTAATTCTTCCTTCACCGTAAATTGAATATCCGGAAAGATGGCGTGTAGACGTTCCTTGAATGGCAGCATCTGATCCCGCTCAATTACGACGAAAGTATCGTCCGCATACCGAGCCCAGAATTTCGGTCTGTGGTACCGGGAATCCAGCGACCCCAACCGTTGCAGGACCGCCTCTACTATGAGTCCGGAAAAGGGCAAACGCATGGGCGTGCCCTTTACCTGCTCGTAGATATTTCAGTTGAAGGTAAAGTATGCCTTGAGGTAGAACTTTTAGAGTTGGAGGATTTGGGCGTGCCCGAGGCGATTCTCCGGTTCATCGTATTTCTCTCGTAGGAGTAGTTGGATAGTCTAGACAGCCAGGTCCTGTGGAATAGAAATCAAAAGGGACGTGACATCGAAGGTAACCATGATATCATTTGGCTGGAGGCTTACCCCTTTAAGTTTCTCCAAGAATTGTGTTGACGGCCTGACTGTTGTGTCTAAATCAGCAGTCAAGAAATTGAGCCGTCGGAACAGGCACTTTGCCACTCCGTAGGTTGGAGTTCCCGCCTCCCAAGCGCTCCGCAAAAGGCTAACATGGCTCAAAACGGAGCAATAGGTCGGGCGGAA